AATGTGTTAATTTGGTCTCTATTGTTTAAATTTGCTCGATTTTGACAAGGACTAAATTGACACATTGTGTAAACTATAGGGACCAAATTGATACATAGTTTGACTTTCCGTTGACTAAACTGAACAAGTGTTATTTATTGGACTAAAATAATACAATTCGTTAAATTAAAGGGTAAAATCGAGCAAATTAAAACAACAGAGACCAAATTGGAGGGTGCCTCTATTTACACATCACATTTGGTCTCAAGGCACACCACTACTCAGTTCACACCTTTAATAATTTGAAAAAGCATACAGCTTGTTTGATTTTGGTTTTTAGAAAATTCTACTTTTTTATTTTTCGTATTTTAATATTTTCAATGAATTTTTTTAATGTTTTAGCAATTTTTTTTAAAAAAATTTTAGACACACCTAACATAAATACACTTAAAAAGTATAATATTTGTGAAAAATATTTTTAACAATTAAAAAATACACAAAAATACGAAAATTGTATTGAATTTTCATTTTTTTTTTGGTTGTATTTTTTAGGTATAAAAGTTGTCTTCAACTGTGTGTGTTATGATAAAAATTTATACTCTCGATCTCCTTTTGAATGATAAAATTGCTATAGGTATAAAAGTTAAAAAAAGAGTTTAATAAAAAGAATAAAAGAAAGAAATAGATTTTATCTGGATGGATATTGCAGAGTCTGCAAAGTTGAACTTTCCCATGCTTAGCAACTGTAGCTTGAGCAAAGACACTTTCTCTGGAGTGGGACTAGAACCTTGCAACTCCTTTGTGAGTAGAGTAGCAAGAGGTACACATTTGTTCAAACATGATGAGAAGCTGAAACACATGAACCCCCTGGCCTTTCAAAATCAGCGGGCAGTGAATAATCCTAGCTCGTGCAGAACCTTTTTGCAAGTATATGAAGATTTGCAATTCAAAATCAATAGTTTATTGCTTGAATGTGGCCTGGTAGGGACACGACTTTATTTTTTTTTTGTTTTACAAAATATGTTAGGAGCCATTATATTTTGTTTTAAATAATATTAGGAGTTTATGCTGGGGCATCTATTGTGTAAAGGGTGAAGGAATTTGAGTTCTTTCTAGTTATCATTGCATGGGTGATGAAATTCACGAGTCTGCTACTACTTTCTTATGAGTGCATGTTGTCGGCACCCCACTGCATATTGAGTACTTAGAGTTATTTTCATTATAGGAGACATGTAATCTAAGGTCTCTACCTTAATTTGTTTGAATTATTTTTAAAACAACTCATATGTATGTAGGCCTAATGGGATGGTTTGAGAAATGTATTACTATGTTTAATGTCAATTTTTTGGATTCAATTTTCTGAAAATTGAATTTTTTTTTTCGTGTTTTTTTTAAAATTTATTTTTTTGTTTTTAGTGAATACTTTTAAAATTTTAAGCAATTTTTTTACTTTTTTCAGATGCACCTTACTTAGATGTATCTAAAAAATAAAATATATAAAAAAAATATTTTAAAAAATCAATAAATACACAAGAATACAAAAAATATATTGAATTTTTGTTTTTTTTATTTTATATTTTTGGTATTTAGTATTTTTTTAAAGATGTTTTTTACAAATATTATATTTTTTTTAAGTGTATTTATGTTAGGTGTATTTTAAAAAAAATTTAAAAAATTGCTTAAAATATTAAAAAAAATCAGTGGAAAAATAAAAAATAAAAAATTTCAATTTTCTAAAAAATGAATTCAGAAAACTCAAACCAAACAAGCTATATTAGGCTTGGATATTATAGGCCCAATGTTCGGGTCAATCTAGGTTTGGGCAGACACAAAGTCCTTTATTAAGGCTTGTTTTGGAATTAAAAGCTGATTTTTTGATTTTTTTTAGTTTTTTTTGAGAAAAAAAAAAAAACGTAGAGAGATGATATGACTCAAAATAGGTTAAAAGTCAATTTTTAATCTTTAACAAAATTTCCAAATTAGGCCTACATGTGTGAGTGTATTTGCATTACTTAATATTATTTTGATTGACTTTTTGCGACGGGAAGGGGGAATCGCAACTGGGGGCGTTGCAAAAGAGTTTTTGCGATGGCACAGTGCCATCGCTAATGTTTTGAGACGGCATTTTTGCCTTTTGCGACGGCACTTTGCAGTCTCTAATAATGTTTGAAATTTCTTGACTTTTTGCGACGGTACTATTTTATCGTCGCTAAAAATGTTATTTGAGACGGAAAAAAAAGCGGTCGCTAATAGTCTTTTTTTTTTATAACGGCAAGAACACTGTTTTTGCGACAATGTGGTGCCATCGCAAAAAGTATTAAAAATATGAAAATTTCTATTTTTGCGACAGTGTACTACCGTCGCAAAAAGTATTAAAAAAATAATAAAATTTCTATTTTTTGCGACAGTTTAGTGCCGTCGCAAAAAGTAAAACCTGTAACAAAATCAATAAAAATATTATTATTTTTTTTTGTGACGGTGTATTGTCGTCACAAAAAAGAAAAAAACATCCTACGATAAAATTATTAAAAATATTAAAATTTCTCCATAATAATTGCATAATAATATAAAAATTCTTGTATAAAAATAACAATTTCTCCATAGTTAAATATTCTTCCATTCATAATTACACATCAACAAAATTATCCCACTAAATAATATGCCATAATACATATATAATGTTTAAATACATGATTTTGTTCATAATTCAAAATAACATAAATCAAAATTAAATGTTTTTCTCATTATTCTTCGTAGATAACAAAAACAAAAGTTAGCCACATTCTCCACAAGCATACATTCCACAAGAAGCACACTCCTATATGTGGAATATTGAAGTGTTTGGGAAGATTGAATTTAACATCAAAGCTGCTGAAGAGGAAGCACATGCTATTGAACTAATTGCTGAAGAAAGAGCACTCCTGGGGAATGAACAAGCTCGAAGAAGGGAACTAATGGGGGAAGTTTGGAGATTGAATAAAATGCTAGAATGGTCATGGTTACAAAAATCAAGAATGGATTGGGCCTTAAAAGGAGATAGGAACACAAGGTATTTTCACATAATGGCTTGTAACAGAAATAGCAGGAACTCTCTGTGTTCAATGATGGTAAATGGTGTAAGGGTTGAGGAACCTATGGAGGTCAGACATGTGGTGATGACTCATTTTAGGAATCTCTTCTCTGAAATGTGGGTTGTTAGACCTCACTTAGCCGGGCAGTTCAAGAATATTGGTGGAAGACATGCAGTGGATATGCTAGAAGCAGAGTTTACCGAGGAGGAAGTTAGGAATGCTATCAAGAGCTGTGAAGGCAACAAAGCTCCTGGGCCTGATGGCTTTAATTTGGTTTTCTTTAAGAAATGTTGGGGAATAGTTAAAGCTGAGGTAATGCTCTTCTTTAGAGAGTTCCATCAGAATGCCACATTGGTTTCTGGTTTAAATAGCTCTTTTATTGTTCTAATCCCAAAAGTGGACAACCCATCACATTTGAGCGAATATAGGCCCATAAGTCTTATTGGCTCCTTGTATAAAATCCTAGCCAAAGTTTTGTCACACAAGATGAAACAAGTGATGCCACAGGTAATTAGTGAGGCCCAATCTGCGTTCCTGGGGGGCAGGAATATTCTTGATGGGGTCCTTATTGCAAACGAGATAGTGGATGTGTGGAGAAAATTTAATAGGAAAGGTTTGGTTTTGAAACTAGACTTTGAGAAGGCATATGATTCGGTAAATTGGGAATTCTTATTCAGTATGCTATCCAACTTTGGTTTTGGAAATAGATGGGTGAAATGGTTGAAAACCTGTGTTACCTCCACAAAGGTGTCGGTCCTGGTAAATGGCTCTCCAACTGAGGAATTTTGTCCACAACGAGGTTTACGGCAAGGCGATCCACTGTCACCTCTTCTATTCAATATAGTGGCTGAGGGGTTGAATATTTTGTTTGAGAGAGCCAAGGAAATGGGTTTAATCCAAGGAGTAGCCATTGGTAATAATGGGGTAAGAGTTACGCATCTACAATTCGCCGATGATACAATTATATTTTGCGAAGCTGAGTGGGTGGAAGTGGTGACCATTAAAAGAATCCTCAGGTGTTTTGAAATTCTTTCGGGGCTGAAAATTAACTATCATAAGAGTGTGATTGCTGGCATTGGAGTAGAGGAGGGTCTGATGCAAAGTTTTGCAGCTAAATTAAATTGTGTTCACCAAAATTTGCCTTTAAAGTACCTTGGGTTACCTCTAGGAGCTAATCCTAGCAGGTTAAGCACTTGGAAGCCAGTTTTGGACAAACTTAAGAAAAAATTACCCACATGGAAGAGAAGGTTGCTATCGTTTGCTGGGAGGCTGACTTTAATTAAATCCGTTATGAGCAATATGCCTACTTATTATCTGTCATTGTTCAAAATACCCGAGGGGGTGGCAAAGGAAATTGACAAAATTCAAGCTAAGTTTCTTTGGGGGGGATCAGATTTAAGAAGGAAAGTTCACATGGTTAGTTGGGAGAATATTACCAAGAGCAAAACTTTGGGAGGTTTGGGAATCAGAAGAATCACTGATATGAATAAGTGCATCCTATTGAAATGGTGGTGGAGGTTTGGGGTGGAAAATCACTCGCTATGGAAGGAAATCATATGCTCAAAATATAACATGGGGGGTGGAAGATGGCTGCCAGACTTGGAAGGAAGAGGTAGAGGTTCAAAAATTTGGTCTGACATAGTTGCTGCTATTACCTCTAAGCCTGTATTACATAATTTCTATCTTGAAAACTCTGCAATTATTTTGGGGAATGGTAGGAGAGCACAATTCTGGAGGGATAAATGGGCAGGGGAGTTGTGTTTAAAGGATGAATTTCCCAGACTGTTCTCTTTCTCTACTGTCAAAGATGGAGTAGTGGCTGATTTCTATATCAGTAGTGGAGGGATCCAGGACTAGTTTTTCGAGTTTAGGAGACCTCTGTTGGCTTGGGAAGATGAGGAGGTGAATAGGTTACATACCGTCCTTAGGAGTGCACCGGCTGTAAGGGTCATGTCGCCCGATATATGGATGTGGAGGGCTAATTCCTCTGGGATGTATACTGTTGCTTCAGGTTATAGAAAATGTGAATCATTATTGGGTCCTGATAGGAAAGTGACAAGGGAAGTATGGAACAACTGTGCACCACCAAAAGTTAAATTCTTTGGGTGGTTGGCTTGGTTAGGCAAGTTGAAAACATCCAGCTATCTCCAAAGAATTGGGATTTTAGATGAAGCTGCCAATGTTAGCTGTGCTTTTTGTCAAAACGAGGTGGAATCGGTCAACCATATCTTGCTCTTTTGCCCATTTGTCTGGCTACTATGGTCTCAGATTTTGAAGTGGTGGGGTGTTCAGTGGGTGATGCCAAACTCAGTGGAAGGGCTATTGCAGTGGTGGTCATTTTGCAAGATGAAGAAGCTTGAGAAAGTGATGTGGAAGGTTGTGCCTATGGCTGTCCTTTGGTCCATCTGGAAGCATCGGAATGATTGCATCTTTAATGGTGCTCAACCAAATTTAGAAGATTTATGTGAGGTTGTCAAAGTAAGGATCGCCTTGTGGGTAAAATCCTCCCCAGCCAAAGTAGAGTTCTCCATTAATGATGTAGTTTTTAATTTGCAGCAGGTTCACTATTGTTTAAGGCAGGGGAGCTGGGTATAGGCTGTCTTGATGCATTCACTGGACAGTGGTTTTGAGGATGAATGTTGCTGTCTGTTGTATGTTGCTGCCTTGATGCATACACTAGGTTCATTATGTTGCTGTCTGATATATGTTGCTGTCTGTTTTGGTTGCTAATCTAGTTGCTAATCTGCTAGAGTACAGAGGACAGTGGTTTTGGAGGATGGTCATATGCTAGAGTGCTTGGGCAGTCCTCAGTGTGCTTTTCATCTGTTATGCTACTCATATGCTAGAGTGCAGTGGACAGTGGTCTTAAGTGTGCCTCTTGTTCAGTTGTTCATCTGCTAGTAATCAGGAGTGATGCATCAGAAATGGAATGCTGCTCTGTTGGGTGATGAGAAGTGATGTATTACCTCATGGCACTGTTCTAAGGCAGCATACAATAGCTGTTGCATGACTCTAGTGTTGCTAAGAGTTTGCAGCTACTCTTGGATATAATTTGCTTGGTAGAGTGCATAGATTCAGTGGAGTTTCTGGTGTGGTTGTCCTGTTGCTGGATGCATAAAGTCTGGTTGATGCTTTGGGAGAGTATATGGTTTGCTTGCTCTCTCTCTGTAGGCTGGGTGATGGTTTAGTTTGCTACTGCTGCTGTCAGCTAAGTGGGCTGTTCTGTGGGTTGTTCTGTGGGCTTTGAAGTGTATTGGGTGTTGTTTGCTATGCGTAGGTTGCTGTGGAGGTCTTTTTGGCTGCAGTGTAGTTTCTAATGTTGGCTTATGACTGGTCTGTTTGGTCTGTTGGTTTTTTTTTGTTGTTCTCCTCTGTGTTTCTCTTCTTCTTGGGTTTGGTTCCTCACCAAACTCCTGGGGTGAGCTAGCTTGCTGCTTTTCCCCTCCTTTTTTGATGTAATCTCTGGTTTTGTTTGGTTTTTGCATCAATAAAGGTTCTCTTTTGCTGATCAAAAAAAAAAAAAAAATGGAAAATATCTGAAAAATAAAAATAAAAATAAAAATAATTAATGACAATATAATTATGTGTTAATGTTAATTACAAAAAAACATAAAAAATTTAACTACTATAGCATCAAATACAACATTTTTTTTTGTTGGTCATCAAATCCCACATGGATAATTAAACATCTCAATCAAATACAAAAATAAAAATTTAACTATTATAGCATCAAATACAAAAAAACATAAAAATTACATTTGAAATCTGGCTCTAACTCCCAACAATATCTGAAGAAAGCTAGTAAAGGCATCCAACACAAATAAGACCCATCAAAACTTCAAAAAATACCCAAAAGATTCATAAATAAATAAAAATTTTAAAAATTATAAATACAACCCAATGCATATCTTCTGGAAAACAACAGCAAAAGGATACTCCTAGCATTTTCTTGGAAAAACAGAATGGTTGGGCCTGCAAAACCAACATCACTACTTTCTAAGCCTTGAAAAGTATTACTACTTGTAGTTTCAAGCCCACAATATTTGCATAAAATACAAATAAGAAAGATATGGACATAATATAATAGGAAATAACCAGCACACAGTTATCAGTGCCATGATACAGTGATAACAGAGGTGATGACACAATATCTGCAGCCTTCATTCATGCTTCCACTAGGCCACACACACATATTTGCACTCATATTTGCACGCAAAAAATTACATTTGCACTCATATAACAACATTTTTTCTATTTTTCTAGGCTTCCTAGAATCAAAATTTGAAAGCAAACAAGTAAGGGAGCTGTTAATACATGCACCTATGAAGCATGGATACGAATACAGGATGCCGATATAATACGATACAGATATGGTGATACGACAAAAACTAAAAAAAATAGGATACAGGTACGCCTAAGATACGTTCATGAAAAAGAAGTTATAGTTTCTAACATTGTATTATACATAAGCTCAACTTTAGGAACTAGGTATTGGTTTGAGAGTCAGTAGTCAATTTACATTTTTTTTAGTAGGTCTTATAAAAATTTCATTTCAATAGCATGTCTAAATTGTTTATATCGCCCTTGTTCTTTTCCCTTTCACACCTAAAAGTGTTATATGCTAATGTGTTGCAGACAAGTTTACTTGCTCTTTCAATTGTTAAAATCTGATTTTAGTATCATATTATTTTCTTATTTTCTAAGAGATAAACTGAGTATTTAAAACTATTCTTGTTTTTATTTTGACAATTATACTCTATAGCTATGCAAGAAATATTACAATCTCAGTTTCATAATATATTGTTTCCAAATGAAGCCTAATTATAGCTCTTCCCTCTCTTAATTCTCTATGATATCATGGACATATATGTATGTATATGTATGTATGTATTTATGTATATATTGACTAGTATTATTAAAGAGAAAATTTTGTTTATAGATCTCAAAGCCTCAACATATGAAGCCTAATTATAGCTCTTCCCTATCTATTCTTTATGATATATCATGTACATATATGTATGTATGTTGTATTTGTATATATATATATATATTGACTAGTATTATTAAAAAGAAAATTTTGTTTATAGATCTCAAAGCTGTGTGAATCACTCAACATAATTGTCAACAAAATACAGATCAACCATCTTAACCAACTCAAAAAATAATAATAATAAATTATTCTAAATTCTAAAATAATATTAAACTTCATAAATTTGATATAATTATATATATATTTTTATTAAAATTAAAATCACATGAATTAAAAACTTATAGGAGCATCTTATAATTATACCAAATTTATAAAAGTTAATTGTATTTTTTTTTTAAATATCAGAGTGTCAATATAATTTAGAAAAAATTAGTGAATTTTTTTTTAAATAGTAGGAGAGGTCCAATATATATATTATTTTATTAGTTAAGGTCCTTAATAATATTATTACAGAATTTTTTTTGCAAAGAGTTAATTTCTCTGAGAAAAACTGAAAATTTATCTATAAAAATACTGAGAAATCCCAATTACCATGAAAATGTTGTAGGTGCTTTATTTTATAAAATCCTAATGTGAGGAAATTTAAATTAAAAACTCCTATAATTTATTGATTTTTTATTTTTATAGAAAATGAAATCACCATGGCACAAAGCTCCTAGCCTAGTTCAGACAAAAGCGCTAACCAATCACCTCTCTCCACTTTTCAAAACCACATCAAGAAAATGAGAAAAAAATTACAAGAAAAATTGAAATTAAATTCGAAAATAATTCAGAATGACTTTAATTAAATAGAATATGGACAACAAATTCATGGTGATAAACTATATTTCAGATCCAAATTACGTAAATTTTCCAGACTGACTGATATTAACAAGAATATTTAAAGAACAAATAATCAAAGAGGCATATATGTTGCTGATCATATATATATATATATAGAGAGAGAGAGAGAGACCTCGGCAGTCAGTGAAGAGCTTGATGAACCAGGCGTGAAGGAGAACTCCATTGGAAGATCTGAGCCATACATCTTCGGAGGGGAGGTGAGGCAGAGACAAGAAGGAGTGACAAGGTAGGACTTGGTGAGGCCAAGCAACATCGGAAGATCTGCTGCTGCTCCAACGCTGCTCCTCCTCCGACGACGCTGCTCATCCGACGACGACGACGCTGCTCCACCGCTGCTCCTCCGCCGCTCGCCGTTGATCGAGAGAGAGAAAAAAGGGGTAAGAAGAGATTAGGAATTTTTGGGTTTGAGATTGGGGATTTTTTGTTTTGTGGGGGGGGGGGAGCGGGAATGGAGGGAAAAAAAAAAAAAAAAAAGGGGAGCGGGAATGAAAAACAAAAAGGGGTGGGAATAAAAAATAATTTTTTTTAGGTCAGAAATGAAATTTAAATAACAAAATAATGCCGTTTAACTTTTTTTTTTGCGACAAGGGTTTCCGTTGTCAAAATTTTTTATTTTTTGTTAAAATATATATTTTTTTGTAGTTAAAGAATTTTTTTTAATTTTTTTTTTAGGTTACTAAGATTGGAAATTTATTTGTTTCATTTTTATTTTAATAAAAAAATTATTATTATTTTTTATTTGGTAGAAGTAGTGGTAATATTTTAATGAAAAATATTTTCCACTAAAATAAAAGTTGATTTTCTGTGGGCAATGAAAAATATTTTTCTACAGTCTATTTTTTTTGGTTATTAAAAATCATGAACTAATTTTTTATGGTAGAGGAGAGGGAGCAGCAGTAGTGGTGAAGGTGGTGGATAAGAGATGATGGTGGTGGTGGTGATGGTGATGGTGATGGCGAAGGAGATTGGTGGTGAATTTGTGATAGTGGTAGAGTAGATGGAATGGTAGGGGTGAAGGAGAGGTAATGGTAGTAGTAGTGGCAGTAGTGGTAGTGGTGTGGTGGCAATGGTAGTAGTAATGGTAGTCATAGAGGTGAAGTGGTGACAGTGGTAGTAAAGGTGGTAGTGGAATGTCGTTTGCAGTAGTGGTGATGGTGGTAAAGGCGATGGGTGGTGAGAGAGAGATAGAGATGAGTGAGAGACAGATAGAAGAGAGAGAGAGAGAGAGAGACAGAGTGATGAGCGAGAGAGAGACAAAGTGGTCGCTAAAAGTGCATTTTCTTGTAGTCGATAGATAAATCGAAAGCGAGCTCGGTAAATAAAGAAAACGAAAATGAGAGAGTGAGCAACGCGAACACAGTGGGGGAGAGAAAGAGAAAGAGAAGACAGAGAGAGAGGAGAGTGAGACAAAAAGATAAAGAGATAGAAAGTGAGAGACAGAAAAAGAGACAGAGAGAGAAGAGAGATGAACGAGAGAGACATAGAGAGAGATAGAGAGAAAAGAGATGAGCGAGAGAGACATATAGTGAAGAGAGATGAATAAGAGAGACAGAGAGAGAGACAGAGAGAAGAGAGATGAGCGAGAGAGACAGAGAGAGATGAGAGATGAGCGAGATAGAGAGAAGAGAGATGAGCGAAAGAGACATGGAGAGAAAAAAGATGAGAGAAGAGATATATGAGTGAGAGACACAGAGAGAGAGAGAGAGAGAGAGATAGACAAAGAGAGAAGAGTGATGAGTGAGAGAGAGAAATAGAAGAGAGAGAGAGGAAGATGAAAAATGAGTGAAAAGATATAGACAGAGAGAGAGAGAGAACAAAAAAGAGTGAAAAGAGATAAACGAGAGAGAGAGAGACAGGGAGAGATGAGCGAGAGAGATAAAGAGAAGAGAAGAGAGAGAGAGAGAGAAAAGAGATGAGAGAGATAGATAGAAGAGAGATGGACGAGAGACACAGAGAGAAAGATAGAAAGGCAGACAGACAGGCAGACAGACAGAGAAGAGTGATGAGTGAGAGAGAGAGAAAAAAAAGAGAGACAAAGACACAGAGAGAAAGAGAGAGACAGACAGACAAAGAAGAGTGATGACTGTGAGAGAGAGAGAGAGAGAGAGAGAAGAGAGATAGAGACAGAGATAGAAAGATAGGAAGATGAAAAAATAGGTGAAAGGAGAAATGTTCAAAAGAGTAAGACGACTTTTTTTTTTTTTTTTTTTTTTGTGACAGAAAAATACCGTTGCATTTATTTAAACCATTTTGTGACTATATATATATGAAGCTGTCTCAAAGTC